TGCCCCATCTTCCTTCCGAGGAGTGGCTGGTGAGTTTGAACCACCAGCCTTCTGGTTAGCAGTCAAGTGCCTTAGCCACTATGCTACCAGAGCTCCCTGTGTGGGTGGAAGAAAGATGCAACAATCGACTTCCTTAAAGATTTACCGCCTCGGAAACCCAACTCTGTACTGTGATTTGGGTGAAAGCCTAACAGAGCAAACTGGTGCCCCACTCCACAACTCATGGTTCTGTGTTGCGACACTGACAGCGATGCCCACAGTGGACCCACCCACCTCCTCCTTGCACTTCCTGTTCATCCTTCTTTCCTGTCCTTCCTCCTGCCTTCCAAGCTTTCTCCTTGGGCACGTGCTGCCCTTCTGGGCTCGTCTGGTCACCAAAGAGTGCACCCCTCCCTGCTGTTACTGGTCACCTTACTGGCCGGTCTGTCATTTGGCTGAAAGCTGAGCCACGCGGGTGAGTTCAGTTCCAGCCCTGAAGGGTGACCAGGGGCCACAGTCTCAGGGGTTACCTGTCTCTATGAGGCCAGGAAGCCTGGGTTTTTCGATGGTTTTGAGTTTTGGTCCACATTTTTCTCCTACTCTACTTTCTCCTACTCCCTTTCAGCAAGGTCAGCAGTGGTAGCAGGGCACTATCTAGTTCTTCTGGTCTCAGCATCATGGAGGCTGGGTTCACAAGGTCCGTTAGTCCTTTGATCTAATTGTTTTCCTGCATCTTTGATTTTCTTCACTCTTCTTTGCTTCAGATGGGGACAGACCAATAGTTGAATCTCAGATGGCCACCCCAAGTTTTTAAGTCCCCAGTCGCTACCCCTCAGGAGCTCTGGTGGCATAGTGCCTAAGGCACTTGACTGCTAACCAGAATGCTGGCGGTTCAAACCCACCAGCCACTCCTCAGAAGGAAGGTTGGGCAATTTACTTCAATAGTGATACCACCTCGGAAACCCAAGCAGGGGTCACCATGAGTCAGAACCAACTCCAGGGCAGTGAGTTTGGTTTGGTTGGTTCACTGCTCATCAAAGTAGGATGCAGAACATCGTCCTTGAAGACTATGTGCTGCCAATTGAACTTAGTGTCCCCCAAGACTACGGTTCTGAGCCCTAAGGCTATAAACCTTTATGGAAGCAGACTGCCACGTCTTTCTCCCTTGGAGCAGCTGGTGGATTCGAACTGCTGACGTTTCAGTTAGCAGCTGAATGCATTAAGCACTGTGCCACCAGAGCTCCTTGCAATACACACATATTTACCACAGAAAGAAGTTGATGTGTTTAAAATAAAGGACGCAAAGCTGTGAGGAAAAACAGGAAACGACTCAACAACATGTCTGACAGGGCCAAGAGGCACCTGCCCCACACAGCCACCAAGGCCCCACAGGGCAGGCAGACAGGGTGACACAGCATCGCAGCTCACCCGGAACTGCCCCAGCCCCACCCAACACAGCAGGCAGAATCCAATTGCCACTGGAGCTGTACAAGCTTGGCCCTTCCTGGCTGCCCAGGGATACAGCTGGGAGACAATACGGCCATCGGGACAGTCTAGACACGGCACCGAGACCGCAGGACCGCCAAAGCGCCACCGCCACCCTGCCTGATGTGCCCCACGCCAGCCCCTCGGGGGCCTACTCACAATGTCATCCACCAGGTCCCGGGCAGCACGGATGAACAGCAGGCAGACCAGCGGTGCAAAAAGCGTGAACCAGGGCAGCGTGGAGATCTCGGGGATGCCCTGACACAGATGGGAGCGCGTGTCAAACCCTTCTGGGGGCCTCCTCTGACCTCCACGGCACAGCCTCCCACCAAGCCTAACCCTGCCCCACCTCATGCCATCCAAAGCCCTGTGACCCGCCCACTGACCACCTGGGTCCTGGTCTGGCCATCTTCCCACACATCAGCCTCAGGTCCACATTCTAGTGCACCATCTGCTCCCATGTCACCTCCTCCAGGAAGCCCTCCCCAGCCCCACGCTTGTCCCTCACTCCTCTCTGTCCCTGTAGCCCTGCCCCTTCAATGACAGTCACCTTCTCACCAGACACTCAGCCACCCAAAGTCGGGGCTGTATACAGTAAGTGCTCAGTAAACGCTTCTTGGGTTAATGGATAAAAGCAGAGTCTTCACCCAGAGCAGAAATGAGATGCTGGGTGTGGGTGGGGGGCTCTGGGGACGGCACCCATCTCCTGAGAGGGAGGTACCCAGCTCAGACGCCCAACCCCTGCCCCCACCTGGACTGCTCCTCCTTCCTCAGGGTCCCCTGAGGCCAGTCAGCAGGAAGGTGGCCATGGGAGCCACACCCAGCTTAGAGGGCCAGGAGGTCCCAGAAGGGATGCCCTCCTTGGACCTGGGGACTCCATCCACGCACCCTTCATCAGTCAACATACATTGAGCACCCTCTGTGTGCTAGGACCAGGAAGGATGGCCCTGCCCGCAGGACGCTCCCAGTCTGTGGGGCGCTGGACATTAACCCTTGACTCACTGAAAAGCACACAATTCAATCGCCCTGGGTCTTCGAGTGATGTTCAGAAGGGGGTCAGGGGGACAATTTCCGCCCAGAGAAGACTGCACTTCATGGCAAGCCCCCACAGGGACTCGGGTGCCATTCCACAAGGAAGGGAGCCCCGGGGCCGCCCCTGCCCCCTGCGCTGACCCTGGGGCCGCCCCACCCTGCCCCCTGCGCTGACCCTGGGGCTCCCTCTGCCCTTCCACACCCCACCTGCAGGATGATGATGAAGAGGAAGTAAAGGTTGGACACCCGGTGGAACTGCTCATACAGGTTCAGTGGCAGGAAGGTGAAGACGTTGTACTTGGCCGTGCGAATGACATTGGTCTGCAATGAGAGCCGCCGCCCGGCCAGCTCAGGCCAGGAGGACTGCTGCCAGCCCTGCCACACCCCAGCCTCGCATCGCACCCTGCAGTACTGTGGCTGCAAGAGGCCCCCGTTATCGTCCTAACGAGGATAACTCTGGCAAGAGCCGTCATAAATCAAAAATCTGAACACAAGAGCTCAAGCCAGTGATGACTGAGTGCCTGCTGGATGCTAGGCCTCGATCCAACACTGAGTGACTACTGAAGGCAAGGCCTCAAGTCAGCATTAATGAGCATCTGCTGAATGCAAGGCCTCCACCCAACATTCAAGCCACTATTAATCGTACAACTGAATGGGAGGCCTCGGGCTAGCATTCACTTGAGTGCCTGCTAAATGGGGGAGACCTCAGGCCAACGTTAATTATGTTTGTGGAATGCAAAGCCTTGAACCGGCACTTACTGAGACCTGCTGAATGCAAGGCCTCGATTCAACTTTGAGTGACCACTGAATGCAAGGCCTCGAGCTAGCATTACTGTGCACCCCTCTGCTGAATGGCAGGTGTCAGGCCAGCATTAATTATGTGCTGACTGCATGCAAGGCCTCAAGGCAGCATTAACTGAGCTCCTGCTGAATGCCATGGAATCACCGCTGAGTACAGAGTTCTCGAGCCCTGAGTTTGGCCAAAACGGGACACACACAGGGGTCTGAGGTGGCACCCAGCTGGACATCTGTGTTCTAAGGGCTGTGTGTCAACTTCTTTTCATACAGGGTGGGCAACAGCCGTAACTCGCCCCTCACATCAGTGAGTCCTTTAGACTGGGCAACAGTGCCTAAGTCTGAAACAAAAACATCAGGCAAACACAAACCAAACCAAAACCAAACCCACTGCCATAGAGTCAATTCCAGCACATGGCGACCCCCACTGGGTTTCAAAGGCTATAATAAACCTTTATGGAAGGAGATCGTCTCATCTTTCTAGTGCAGAGTGGCTGGTGGATTTGGACTGGGACAGGTAGAGATTGGCTGGCTGAGCCAAGAAGCCTCCGACTCAGTTTTCTTGCTGCTGGTGCCAGAGAACTGCTTGCAATGAACAAGCCAGGCCCCAAGGCAACACAGGGGGCCACATTTCCAAAGGCCCACGTGCTTGACCAGTTGCAAAATGCTGATAAACCTCCTGAGTTGTCCTTCAAGTTCCTCACCCAGCACTCACAGCAAACGTCAACAGTCAACCTGACCGACCAAGTGACCCTCCACCAGAGGCAGTCAAGAGCAGGAGTCCCTCGCCGGGATTTGAACCAGGGTGCAGAGACACTACGCACGCACAACATCCCAGAATAAGTCACGTCACAGATCCCAGCAGCCTTCACGATGGGCCCCGTCTTTGTTCCGAGAGCCCTTGCGGTGAAAACCACCTTGACTACTTCCTGAGCGTGCATCTGATCTTCATAGCGTCGCCTGTTTCCCGGAAACCCCTGCCTATGTTATGAATAAAGATGATGCCTTTTTCCTGTCTAAAAAATTCTTCATAAGCCCTAGGAAATCCTCTCTTCAATGAGAGACCAGAGGCTAGTGTCGACAGAAGCCCTTCTCCTTCCATCCCTTGAGAGCCCCTCCCTCTCCTTTCTCTTGAATAAACTGTGGTTCGTGAGGACACTGTGCTTCCCCTATTCAGTTCTTTGTCAGTAAAAGCCAGGACCCTTGCTCAAGGTCCCAGGACCCTTTGGGACAGAACCACTGACCTTTTGGTTAGCAACCAAATGCCTTAACCACTACATCACCAGCGCTCCTCAGGCAAACACAAGCAGGGCTGAACTCAGGGAGTGACACAAAGCAAGAGCCTGAGAGGGCCCCAGGGGTGACCAGGGGAAGGTGCCAGCAGCCCAAAGGGGTGAATGTCAGAGTGCTTGCTGCAGGCCCGCGGCCGGCTGGGCCATGCACCCACCTTATATTTGTTCCTTTGATAGCACAGGAAGACTTTCTCTTTGAACTGCCAGTGGTAGTACCGGTTGTTGGCCTTCACCTCCCAGGTGAACGCTGTAGCAAGAACAGGGCAGTGTGGAGCCTGAGACAAACACTCTCTGACGACACCCTGGAGGCGGACTAATGGGACCCCAGGGGACTAACGGGGCACTGGGGATGGCCAGCTCATGGCTAGGGACACCAGAGCCTGTAAACAAATGGGGCAGGGGTGGAGGGGGCTGCAGGTACCTGGCAGGTTATGGGCACTTGGTCTGTGCACACAGTGGACACTGAGGGCACACAAATGAATCCGCACCACGGCCCCACCCACCCCAAGCTGTGAGCCATTTCCATAGACTCAGACAACAGTACCCAATAAGGTGGGCCCACTTCACAGATGGAGTAAGCTGAGGCCAGGTCATGGGGCTGTGAGGTGACCGAGGCTACATACCCAGCGAGGCAGTCCAGATCTTTCTGGACTTGCAACCTCCCAGCCCAGAGCCATTGATTCAGTAACAGGGTTTGTTGTAACAAGATGGGAGCCCCACACTGTCATCATGGACTGGGGGGGGCCTCCCCAGTTGTCCCACTTCAGCTACGGCCCTATTAGCCACATCCTCACCTACCCTGCCTCACCCTCAGCCCGGGCATATACCTGAGTTCTCATCTTCTTCGAAAATATCCTGGTAGTTGAGGCTGTTCATGCTGGTGGGGCTGGTGAGGGAGACACCAGGACAGGTCACAGCAGTAGCCGACCTAGCTGGCCGCCTAGAGGTGACCTTCTCTAAAATGACACCTCCCACATCCACTTGCAGCCTCCCTGGCCCAGGCTGATCCCAAACCTGCCCAAACAGCCCCATGCCGGCCAGTGCCCCCCAGCTGGCAACTGGAGGCTGCCTCATCTCTCCCCATTACAGTAGCATTGGACCCTCAACACACCACCTCTGGCCCCTGCTCTCCACCCCATGGCCATCCTGAGGGTTGCCTCTGGCTGGGACGACCACACCCCCCTCCTCCTTGGTCTCCCAGTCCCCATGAGGCACTCAGTGACCAGTCCAGGGCCAGGACTTGTCGATTGACTACACAGCGCCCCAGGGTTACACATGGTACCTTGCAGCATGTTGGGTTGTTCTGGGAGGCCTCAGCTGTGATCTCGGGGTGCTTGGGGCTGGAGCCACCCTGCAAGCCACCATGGGGAGCAGAGGTAGCAGCACACCTGTCCCAGAGGTTGGAACCTTCCCATTGGTGGGTTCCTAGTCACTGGCCCGGTTCTCGGAGTCTCACTTTGCACCAGTCAACCCTGGTCTGGCCCTTAGGGGACTGGGTCAAACCACCCTTCCACGGCGACCTGCCACCTCATACAACAAACACTTCAGCCGCTCTGATGCACCTCTTCTCCCTGAGTCTTGCAGCAGAAACTCTAATCCCCATGCCTGGCTACTGCCTCCTCACCCTTCCGGTCTCAGCTCAGATGCACCCGGCCCTGCAGGCTGGGCTTGGCGCCTCTTGTGGGCACCCCCTTCACCTGGGCGATCCCCCATCACAGCTCTGATCACCTCCACGTCTGGTCCACCTCTTCCCTGTCTGGTTGCCTGCTGAACCCAAACCTCTCAGGGTAGGGATGCTGGCGTCTGAGTCATCATGTCCCTAGGGTCCTGCCAGCAGGTCTGGCTCAGGGCCAGTTCTGGGAGGCTGAGAAGGACCATGGCCCATTCAGCAGATGAGGAAAAGTGAAGTCAAGTCCATGGCCCAGTCAGAGCAGAGGGAGACACAGCCTGGGTGGAGGCTGACTGGGGGTGTTGTGGTCAAGGGACCGGAAGCTGCCCAAGACTTGTCTGAGGACTATCACATCCACACTCCCCGCTTCCTGCTCACCCAGACCCTCAGCTTAGGGCAACCTCACATTCCCCTGCACAGAACACAGACAGGCCCTGGGTGCTCCCTGGCCGGAGGGATCTAGGCCCAGAAGAACGGCGCTCTCCCACCTAGCCCCGATGCGCGTGAACCCCCACGGGCGCCCCATCCTCCGCCGCCACCCCCCCAGCCCTCAGCCCCAGCAGAGCCCCGAGTATGTGCGCGGGCAGCCGGGGACGCACAGCAGCGGCCTGGCCGCTGCTCACCTGCGCGGGCCGGGCCAGGCCATGGGTGTTCAGGGCGGCCAAGGTGGTGGGGCTGTTGGCCCGGCGTCAACGGGCCGGAAACGGGCGCGGGCGCGGGGACCCGGCGGGACTTCGGGGGCGGGGCCAGGTTTGAAGGCGGGTCTCAATGAAGGGGCGGGGCCAGGACACAGAAGCCGGGCCTCAGGGCGGGGCTGAGGTAAGAAGAGGGGTCTCAGTGGTGGGGCGGAGCAAAGGGCCAGAGGACAGGGCAGGGGCGGGGACTCAGGGGCCAGAGCAGAAGGCGTGGCCTCAAGGAGCCTCAGAGAGCAAAGAGGAAATTGGGGCTAGAAGGCGGGGCCTTGGGTGGGGCTTTGCAGCCAGGGGGACCCCTTCTTTTCATACATTCTTTCAATCAACATTTATCCACCCCCTACAGTGCCAGCAAAGTCCTTGGGACTGGGGGATGGGGTGTGGTGGGGTAGTGTTCACAGGGGGCAGAACCCGCCCAAGATTTGTCTGGGGGCTGACACACCCATCCTGCTCACCCCCACCCTCAGCCAACTGCAACCTCACATCTTCCTGCACAGAGCACAGGCCCCGAGTGCCTCCTGACCGGAGGCACCCAGGCTCAGAGGACACAGCGTTCTCCGCCACTCCCGGAGAGATTAACTGTGGTGCCAACTGTTAACACACGACTGCTAAACAAAATGTCAGAGGTTTGAGTCCACCTGGAGGTGACCCGGAACGCAGGCCTGGCAGCCTACTTCTGCAAACTCAGCCATTGAAAACATGGAACAGTTCTGGTCTGACACCCATGGGGTACCCCGGAGTCACAGATGACTTGATGGTGACTGGCTTACTACTGGTCACCGTGCCAGCTTTGTGCCAAACACTGGGGACACAGAGGTCGAGGAGAAAGACCCAGGGGTGGGGGAGAGCAGGGAGGAATTTCTATGAATTGTTCTAGAAGCCTTTCAGGAGGCCCTGGTCCGACTTCCTCCTGGGGACAATAGAATCAAGGAGAGTTGCATGAGTGTGCAAAGGCCCTGAGGCTGCTGAGGGCCCTCTGGTTTAACAAGCTGGAACAGGCCCTGAGGTTGGGACACAGAGCAGCTGTGGGCCCACAGGCTGCCTGCCTTGGCTCGCACACCTGCTTGCCAGTGAACTCCCCCTCCACCCACCAGAGGTGCCCCAGGGCACTGGGTACTTTTTTTTTGGAGGAGGCAGTCACACACAGAAATAGGGCTCTGGGGAACCCCCAGCACACTGAAGAAGAGGTGGGAGATCCATGAGTACAAGGAGCAGCCCCAAGGGTGCAGTGGTGGCAGGGATCCTACCCCAAGGCACTGTGTACACTCAGCATAGATCCAAAGGACCCTGGAGAGATCCCTGGGGCCTGCACCGCCACAGCTGAACCTGGCACGTGGCAGCGGTGGGAAACAGATGGGCAAACACCTCTCGGCAGCTGGTCTGAAGCCCTAGCCTCACCCTGGGCCCACTCAGCGGCACCTCTGCGCTCAGCGTCCTGACCTGGGCTGCTTGGGTCCTGGTGCTGAGGGCCCTAAGCCTCTTTCCAGCTTGATGTTTGTGACATTAATAGAAAGCTGGGGTCTATATGCCCCTGACCGCCACCCACCTCATACAAACATACCCCTCTTGTGAGCAGAGTTCATTAGTGTAGGGCCAATTTAGCCAAGGTTATGGCACTACCTGGCTGGCTCAGGGGGTCCTGGCACAGTGGACAGAGCCCCCTTCCCTTCTTGCACTGACTTCTTGGATCTGCAGAACTGTCACTCTGGGTGTCCTGGAGAGCCACACAGGCACCAGGTCCCTGCCCCTGTGTGCAACCCTGCGGTAAGCTCGGTGGGCTCCTTACAGAAAGGCCCTCTGCCCTCCTGAGGGGCTGGGGACTCCACCAGGGTATTAGGGGCCAACAGAATCCTCTCTCTCCATCTCCCAGGGGGTCAGCCCTGGCCTTAGGGACAGTGACCACACAAGCACCAAGACCACCGCCACAACACAGGAACTCTAAAATCCATACAAACGTTTATTCTGTCCCTGCCCGGGGAGAGGAGGGGGTCCGGGCACCGGAAGACTGTCAGAGGCCGGTGGGGCCCAGGGGTGTCAGACGGGGCTGCCACATTCTCAGATGCCCTGAAAGCCCAAGTGGCCTGGGGAGAGAGGGCAGAGGTGCCCACCTATGCCCTGAAGGCCCCTGAGGGTCCTTGCTCACATAAGGACATATGTCCTGGCAGCGAGAGGCTTCTGGGCATGGGCAGACCCCTCTCTGACCTCTGGCCTGGGTCTCCCACACATCTCCACCCTGCCCTGGGAGGGCGGGCCTCAGGGGCTTCTCCTCCGGGCAGAGGAGATGATGACTGTGTAAGTCATCAGGTTTAAATTAAAAATAATAAAAATAACAATACAAAATAAAAATAGACGACCCCTCTCTCAAACCTGGGGCAAACCAGCCCGCCCCCCCACCCCCACGTCACATAAAAAGGGACAGTCAGGTCAGGGCACACAGCCTCTGGGGACAAATTAGGGCCTGGCGTGAAAGGGTACTGGGGGGGCAGAGGGGGGGCAGCGGTCCTTGCTGGCCCGCTTCTGGCGCGGCTCTCTGGAGGAGTGGCGCCCCGGCTGTCTGCGCGGTGGGGGGCAGGGTTAACTCGACATTTATTGCACTGTTTGGGAGGAGGCGTGGGCTGGGACGGAGGGTGGGCGGTGGGCGGGCAGCGGGCTCATCGCTTGGTCTTGGCGTCTTCGCGGATCTTCCAAATCATCAGGTGCATGCAGGCACTGGCATCCTCGCTGGAGCTGTGCCCGTCCACTGTGGGGACAGGGGTGTCACTGGCTGGGGCCCCACGGGAAGGCGGGCAGGTGGGCAGGGCGGTGCTCACCATTGTCCTGGATGATCTGTTTGAGGTAGTCAGCCATGAGGTTCCGGAGGGAGCGCTTGTAGGGGAGGCCCAGGCGGTGTGGGAACAGCACGGCCGTGTCCACGACTGTGCTGTGGATGACCTGCGGGCAGGCGGGAGGTCTGCATGGTGGCAGCGCCCAGGCCAGTCCAGCCCCTGCCCCTCCCAGATAGCGCTGCTCTGTGGGGCCCAGGAGGGCTTGGGGGCTAAGGGGCCCGGGGTCCCTGGCTCAGAGCGAGCAGAACCATGGAGACCCACAGTGACGAGGCTGGGGCCCCGGGCCAGCCGGGGGAGGGGGCTGCAGCACCTTCAGGGCCAGCAGGTCACTCTCTAGGCTGTGCCCGATGAGGATGGTGTCGGCATTCAGCATGCTGAGCAGAACGGCCTGTACATCCCGCAGCGTGATGCTCGTGTCAGCCAGGTCGGCCTCCGTCACCCCGGAGAACCTGGGGGCACACAACGTCAGGCTGGAGCCCACAGGCCACGGCAGGGCCCAAATGAGGAGCTGTGGGGGTCGGCCTTGGACGGGCCAGCAGGGAGGTGGCGGACCCGGCACACCTGGTGTTGTAGTCCACGATCTCGTTGTCAGGCTTGACAAAGGTGTCGTAGACCACCTGCATGTCCGTGTCCACCACGGTGACACGCGTCAGCTCCAGACCATACGTGGTGTAGGACTGCGGCCCAGCCACAAAGGGAATGGAAGTTGGTCAGGTCGCCACTCCGGGCAGCCAGGTGAGCCCCTGCTGGCTCCTGAGAACCGACCGTGTCCCTGCCCTTGAGCTCGCAGGAGGGGCTGCCTGGGCAACGAGACCTGCCTCCTTCCCTGGCACCAGACCCATTCTTAGTTGTGGTTCCCCACAAAACTGCTAATGGTGCCACCCTGCGGGGCTTCTCGGGAAGGGCCCAGGGGCGTCGCCCTGCTGCAGCCCTTGCTCTGAGTGTGAAGGGCCCTGCTGGACACACAGGTTCTGCTAACCAGCTCTAGGTCTTGTAAACTGTGTGTGGCGGTTGTTACAGCAACAAAGCCCCCCGCAGCCAGAGCAGCAGCTGCTGAGCCGGCCAGAGCAGCCATTCTGGCAGCTCCCCCCCCCCCAGGTCCCAGCTTTCCGTCTGCTCTTCATCTCGAAACCTGCATCAGCTCCAATCTCTGGGGGAGCCCCTGTGCCGGCCCGCAGACACCAAGATAGATGCCTTCAGCTCACAGGGGTCACGGCACCCACTCCACTCCTCTACTGGGGCTGGGGGCTGGCCAGGCCAAGCCCCCATCAGATGGATGGAGCGGAGCCCTGGAAGCGCAGATACTCACCATCTCACAGTCGAGAGCATAGACCCCCGGGTGAGCGTCCTCTGCAAGCCCCTTGCTGAAGGTCTTCACAAACCCTTCCAGGCTCTCCTTCCGGCCGTCCTGCACGTGTTGCTGGGGGGGTGGGGCACGGACAGGTGAGGAAGGAAGCCGGGCTCCGGGCTTTAGTGGAGCCTCCAGCCAACAACCAGGACACGCTATGGACTGTGACTAGCCTTACTTACCCCGCCAAAGACAGGCCCCTGGTGGAGAGCCGCCCAAAGGGAATGGGCCACTACGCAACTGCCCCTGCACCCACCAAGGGCTCCCAGGCTTCAGGCCAGCCGTGAGTCCTGGGAGCCTCCTGCTGGGGGTGACTTCCACACACATACCTGACCAGGGAGCCGACAGCAGCCCGATCCAAGGGGCTGTTGGTGCAGGTGCTTAAGCCAAACATTATAAAAGTTAAAGGATGCCTAGACCTCAGCAGTGCCTCCGGGACAAGGTCCCTCATGAGCACAGAGCTCAAACACACCCCCTTCGCTGGGGCATGTCCTGCTGCTACACGCTGAGCTTCAGGGCCGACAAGCCTCACGCTGTGTCCCGAGGTCCTGGGAGCCCCACCAGGCCCTGCAAGAGGGGCTGACTCTCCAGCAGGCAATGAGGAAGACCCCTGAGGGAGACTGGGCCACCCGCCAGCCCCTGCCTGCGGCACGGCTGTGCTATCCTCTGGTCCGCACAGGCCACCCTGAGGACCTGGTCCAGCAGAGCCCTCGGCTGCCCCCAGCTGGGGCCTGGCGCCTCTCCCTCCCTGCTCCGGTTTCCCCAGTGGTCTCTAAGGTGGAGATGGGGTCTGAGAACAAAGGTGGATCAACCATCAGTCCCACTGTCTGGGTGAGAAAAAGGGGCTCTGGGGCCAATCTTCTCCCAAGCCAGGAGGGAAGGGGTTTGCCAAAAGGGTGTAGGGGGGCGGGCTTCCCTGTAGTGACCTGGGGGGCCTGCCATTCCCTCAACCCTGTGCCCGGGGCCAGCAAAAAAGAGATGTCAAAAGGAAAGACCAGAAGAGGGGTGTAGCCAGGAGACGGGGTTCTGGGGCCCCAGGACACTCACCTTTGCAACCTGGCAGCCGACGGAGCCGATGGCAGCGGAGCAGCACGTGTACTGGGTCTCCCAGCCACCAGCCACTGCAGGGGGAGCCAGGGGTGGACACTGACCAACTGTCCCAGGGCCCTGCTGCAGGCTCCACTGCACCCCCACAAGACCTGCCAAACCTTAATCCTCTACCCTTTTCTATGTTCTGAAAATATACACAACAAAACATAAACCATCTCAGTGACTTTTTCATGTAGTACTCAACAACACTGATTCTGTTCTTCAAGCTGTGTGGCCATTCTCACCTGCCTTCTCCAACTCAGGTCTGTTGCCACGGACACAACCACACACCCTGGGCAAACACTCACCCTCCACCCCACCCCCATCGCCAACCGTTCATGATCTTTCCTTTCTGTTCACTTAGAAACAGGGGTTTTCTCTTGTTATCAAAGAGATCACGGGGGTAGGGTGGGTTCTTCCCGTCTGAGTGGAGTCAGAGAGACACACACGGGCAGGTAGACAGGCTGCAGGGTGGGACAGAGAGAGACACACAGGCCATGGGGTGGGGCAGAGAGAGAGACACCAACCAGGGGGTGGGGCAGAGAGAGAGACACACAGGCCGTGGGGTGGGACAGAGAGAGAGAGAGACCGACCACGGGGTGGGACAGAGAGAGTAACACATGGGCCACGGGTGGGACAGAGAGTGGCACATGGTCAGAGTGGATGGGCACCACAGGGCCACCGAAGCACATGCATCTCTAAGCAGCAGAGGGGCCAAGGCTGTGGCAGTCTTGTCCTTGGACTTTGGGCCTCCAGAACTAGAGTACCTTTCTCTTCTCCAGCACCACCTACTGGTGGTATTTTTCATGGCAACCTGAGATGAAGACACCCCACTCCTGGCAGAGAGGGCCCTGGCACTGTACTGAGGGGCAGCCTTGGGGAGGTTAGCAGTTTCAGACCCTTTTCTAGGTTTCAGGTTCGGGACAGGACACCTCTTGACCCCTATGCAGACCCTTTCACACACTTCCCCGAATCCCTGGAGAACTGGTAGCAAGGACAGGCCCAGATCCCAGATCCCATAAAAGGCTCTGGGCAGCATCCTTGTGACACCACCACTGGGGACAGAGTGTGGCAGAGCGGGGTGGGTGGGCACTGCCGGGAGGGGACGGTGATGTGGGCTGAATGAAGCAGCATGCAGAGTGGAGGAGGGGACTGCTGCTTGCCAATGGTGCTCCCACACAGCAGTAGGGTACATGGGGCTCACAGGGGGGGCGCATGAGAGGGACTCGTGCTACCTTTGTGATCAAAGAATAAAGGAGAAAGCAGTTTTGGGGGGACGAGGAGGATGAGTGGGATTGCCAGGTGGCCCGCAGCCCCACTCACCCCGGTTCCGCCGGAGCCGCCCCCAGTGGTAGTAGCACTCTTCACTGCGGACACAGCGGCCCGAGGAGGATACAAGGTACTCAGTGCCACAGCGACAGCAAATCCTGCAGGAGGCTGTGGGCAGGACAGCGGGCGGATGGACAGACAGGAGGAGGCACCAGTCAGAGCCTCGAAGCAGAGGGAGGCATGGGTGGGAGCCCCAAACTGGTGTGGGGGAACGGGCTCAGAGTTGGAGCCTGACAGTGGAGGGGCATGAGCCGGAGTCTGGACGGGCCTGGGGCACGGGTCAGAGCTGCCGTGCTGCTCCTGCTGCGTGTAGCTCCCCCAGGCACAGGGGCGTCTGGACTTACTCACCATCCTTGGGCTTCTTCTCCTCGGCTGTGAAGATGACAGCGCGGCCGGGCCTCTCGGGGTGGGGGAAGGGGTAGCCGTTCTCCTTGAGCTGGTCCTCAGTAAGCAGGTACTCCTTGAGGCGGCTGTACAGAGCAAGCCCTGTGGACAGACACCAAGGGCCAGCTGTTACGGGCACCCCGGAGCCGAGGAGGGCAGGGGTCTAGAGGCTGTGGGATCTGACCAGGACGGGCTCACCTTTCAGGTCTTCTACCCGGGGGCTGCTCGAGCGGCTGAGCGAGAAGCTGGTCTTAGCGGCCAGCCTGCCCCCTAATACCACCTCGTGGGACACCAGCCGCCGGCTGCTTGGTTCTGGAGGCGGGAGGAAGGCAGGTAAACCTAGTGGACCAGACACCCCACTGCTCCTCATCCCTCAGGCCCTGTCCTCTTGGTGCCACCCTGCCCCCCACCTTGTTCCAGAATATTCCCCATGGCCCAGACCAAGAGATGAAAGCCCTAAAGTGCGTAAGACCTCGTCACCCTCTCTTGGGTGAGGAGACTCTGCAGGTCCCCATCCTGAATTCTGAGGACAGGCCTGGAGGCCCCCACCCCCCACAGCAGGAGTCTTCACCCTGGTGTGGGTGGGGCGGGGTAACGTGTGTGGAGCAGCCCTCGAGTGTGGCTGCAGCTAATGGAGGGGAAGGCGTGCTTAGTGCACCTCAAGAGCTCTAATGAGCAGCGCATCCTCGCCTCCCAAAGCCTGATGTGCGAGGGGGCAGCACCGCCTGGGCCCAGCAGCTCCATTAGCAGGGCCCCCAGGACCACAAGACCCGCTCACGGAGAAGGGCAGCCAGCGGGGAGTGCTGCTTGCTGCAGTGAGGCCCCATGCACAGCCTGGGCCCCCCAACTCACTGCTGAGGCCAGGCATGGCGCTGGGGGCCAGGCCCCGCAGCTTCTTGAGTGTGTTCACGGCCACGTTCAGGTAGATGTTCTTGCTGGGGCTGCGGTCATAGGCCACTTTCTCTTCGGTCAGCGCCTGTGGGCAGGCACACGTGCGTATACGTGGTCAGTCCTGGCAGCACAGCCCAGGGCCCTAGGCACCGGTGGCAATATGACCAGGGAGGTGCTGGAAGGCCCTGCACTGTTCCCGGGAGCCCAGAGCAGTGGCTGTGACCCACAGCACCCCCAGGGCAGGCAGAGTAGAACTGCGCTCCACAGAGCATCCAAGGGCTGATTTTCTGCAAACAGGTCACCAGGCTTTTCCTCCAAGGGCCTCCGGGTGGCCTCAAACCTCCACCCTGTGGTTAGCAGCTGAGCACGCTTGCCATCTGCACCCCGTAGGGCGTGCTCACAGGCGGCCCAGGGGGAGCTGTGGGGCCGAGGGACCGACCGCCAAGGAGGGGCCTGGAGACGGGGCAGGAGGGACCGCCGGCACCCGCCAGCTCCTACCTTCTCTATGGCTTCCTGGTTGGAAGAACAGAATTTGAGACACTCGTCGATAAACAGATTGAGATATCGCTGCCGGATGGCTGTGGGCACTTTGGCCCCGAACTCTTTGGGGATAATAGGCTTCTTTAAACTCTAAAAGAAAGCAGAGCCATCAGACAGGGCGAGCAGAGGGACATGGACTGAGGCCCCCTGCCCCAGTCCACCCTCCACCCTGGTCACCCCTCCACATCACCTGCAGTGATGGACTGTGGGCAACCCGCTTTGGGGTGGCGGTGGAGGTGGTCTTGGATGCCATCCCTGCCAGCGTGCGCGTCTTCAGGGGCTGCCTGCCAGGCTCGGGACCATGGGGGGGTTGGCTGCCACTGGCTGCCAGGGTCCGTTTGGCACCTGTGGGGGCTGGCAGGGGGCCGGGGGTGTGAGGGCAGGCGGCGAGCAGGCCCATGACCGAGCTGTGCAGCACCAGGTAGCTGTGGTCACTCAGGGCCAGCAGCACGTGCATCTCACTGCTCAGGGCTGGGGGCCACAGCTTGCAGGTTGGGCTGGGAAAGGACATGGGGCTCTATCTGTGTTTGGGCAAGTCCATCGAGGGGGCACGACAGTCAGGGGCAGGGGCCAGGTCAGGCACCGGGGCTGCCAACAGGGCGATGTGGAGGGTGGTGTGGGCCGTGACGAGCCACTGCCGCATGGTCAGGCCCCCAACTCTGAGGCATTGACGACCGAGGGAGGAAAGGCCCTGGCTCCTGGGCAGAGGACACTAGGGTATGGCCAGCCTGGTCATTATGACCAGCACCAGCCTGTGTTCTGCCCCGCCCACCGATGAGGTCATAAAGCACACAGTCTCCTGCCCGAAGGTGGGGGGCTGGGGCTGTTTCTAAGGAGGCAGGGCCCTTTTGTGTGCCTGTATATTTTTTGAGGATCTGGTCAGCTCTGACCTGGGTATCAGCTAAGAGACCAATGCTCACTGACCTGGACAGCTGTCCCTGGCCTCAGGCCAGTCCCTCCCCAAACCCATCAGCCCCCGGGGGAGGAGCCTGGGGCAGGGAACATAGGGCCGCAGGTTGCCCCACACCTGCTGCTCCCAAAAGTGGCCCCCACATTGTCAGCTCTGCCCAGCCTCATCACATGGGGTCTGCGAGGCCTCGGGATGCACCATCCCCCTCACGGACCACCCAAGAAGGAAGGGAGCTGCAACCTAACCTGCTTGTCCCTAGCAGAGGAAATATGTGACACTGGGACTTTTCACATGGCCCCGGGAGCACAAAGAAAGGAACAGAAGCGTGACACCCTAGATTTGGCACTAAATGTTCTGTGCTAGTGAGCCAGTCTTTGTGGCTCCAACCCCTCAATTAGGGGCTACCAGGAGTGCCGGGGCTGGAGCGGGCTGAGTGCCTCCAAGTACAACCCGCCAGGACTCAGTGAGAAGCACCCGCTGGGCCCCAGATCTTGAAGCTGGCAGGGGGAGGGTCAGCAACGCGCATGACCACGAGTGCATCTCAGAGCCGACTCCTCTCCAACTGGCTCCTCTTGCCGCTGCGAAGCCACCCCTGCCCAGCACGCGCCTCTCTGGTTGGGCCTGGGGGAGCCGGGGTGGGAGTGGGCCCACATCCCCTGGGGGAGATGGGAGGGCTACAGGACACCTGTGTCTGCAGGAAGGGCCTGGCCAAGCTCCAGGGCGCCATGGGGTGACAGCTACTCCAGGGTGGTCTTTGACACAGAGCAGCAGAATCCCCAGAAACTGGTGAGGCAGCTGCCCGCACCAGCCCTGTGGCTGCAGACTCCGCATGCACCGAGACCCTCAGACCCCTGTGTAGAGGTGCTATCTCTCGTGGCCCAAGTCCCCAAGGGGGACACACCTTGAGTCTTCATAGCACTTTTTAAGAGACAGAGCCACGGGCACACTGATGAATCCCCCAGCCTGCTATGGGAGGTGCCAACTTTTCCGCCAAGGTCAAGGGCATGACTATAAACACGCCCTTTAGATGGGAAGACAGCAGCCCTACCTCCACCTTCTCATCCTTGTTAGGTGCCATCAGCCGGGCTACCAACTGACCCATGGCAACCCCAGGGGGGACAAACGAGCACTGCCCAGTTCTGCACCACCACCTGCACTTCTGACCCCTGGGACTGAGAGCGTTTTCATTTTGTAGACAGTCAAGCCTTTCCTCCTAGTCCTCCACAAGCTGGAAGCTCTATGGAAACCTGTTTGGTACCCGAACAAGGTGCAAACCTGCACTGGTACAACGGTAGGGGCTGCTCCCAGGGTGCACTGGCCGGGAATCAAACTCAGAAGGCAAGAGTGTTACCACCGAACCACCAAAGCCCTCGCCACCCCCTTCTCTCACACACACAACACGTGTCAGGGAGCCAGAGCCGTCACAGAGCACGCTTCTCCTGCAGCCACAGCAGCACTGGCACCCTACGGGAGGGAAGTCACACCTGGGCAGGACCAGCTAGACCCACCTCCAGGCCATCCCAAGCCCTGACCTCAGCTGAGACACTCGCCCCCTGCCACCCTGCCCTCCACATCCCAGGGCCTGAGGGGGAGGGCCGGCCAGCTGTGGAGTCAGGGAAGCAGAGACACAGATGGGCAGCAGGGACAGCACAGGAGGGTCATGCTCCAAGGAGGCGGGAGGCCGGACATGGACGACATAGTGGGTCTGATACAAAGGAAGAGAGCAGGGGGAGGAAAAATGCCTGCACCCCTATAGCCAGGAGGCACAGGAACGGCACTGGGCCGCCACCAGGCCCCCGTGTCAGGCCAGGGGAGAAGGTTCCCCACCATCTCACAGATGAGCAAACCAAGGCCCTGAAGAGGGGTCCATCAAAGCCACCACCCAGCAAGTATGAGGGGCTGAGGCTCCCTTCCAGTCTCAGCAGGGCCCACCCTGACCAGGACTGCCCTGGCTGGGACGCACCTGCAGCCAGGCGGGGGTTGGGCACGTGGGCTATCCGCCTCTTCTCACCCGGCACTGAGAGGTGTGTGGAAGGAGGCTTCTCGGCTGGCCGTGGGGCAGCCTGCAGCCAGCTGGCCGACTCCTGCTGGGCCTGCTGGGCACGCCGGTAACACACCTCCTGGGCAGTCAGGGGCCGGGCCGGGGTTGCCGGTGGGGGTTTCCTCGGGAGTTCTGCCTGGAGGACCAGAAATGCTACCCATCGGGGGTCCCAGAGCCTCGGGGTATGGGGTGTGGGTGCTGGCGCCTGCCAAGGGTGCCCCAGAGGAAAGCAGCAGGCAGCACTGGCCTCAGGCATGTGACAGCTCCATCCCAGACACCCACGGGGCAGGGCTGCCCCAGGCTCCTGTCTCCCTGACCAGGCTATGCCCTTGGCCCTGACACAGGGCAGGGCAGGGCGAGGCTCCCGCTCCCAGTGGGACTGGCCCCATCTCCCTCCAGGTGCCAGCTTCTAGAGGAGGAGGGCAGGAAGGAAGGGTGCTGAGCCCAAATTGCCCTGTGCAGGACCCCGGCGGCCCTGCTCCTCCTGTGAGACTCACTGCCCCCACGGCTACCCCACAATCACTGCAGCCACAGTGCAGAGAAGAGGCCCAGGCTCAGGGCCACAGCGTACCGGGGAGTGGGATTGGGCCGCAGGTCTCAGTCCACGCTAGGGGGCGTGGCTCTACCCGCACTCTGCACCCTGCCCCACTGCACTGGGAGGAGGGCAGTAGGCCAGTCTCCTCTCTGCCGGGGCCAGACAACTCCAGATATGAGTCTGCCAGATGCAACCACTGACAAGGCACAAGGGGCCCTGGTTCCTGCAGATAGGGCCCAATCCCTCTCTCTCTTGCTGGCCACCCCCAGAAATGAGTGGGATGACCCTCACCTCCTTGCCTCGCTTGGCAAGATGGGAAATCCTCCTCTTCTGACCCGGGAGCAGTGTGGTCAGGCCTGCTTGGCCCTGCGCCTCGCCCTTTTCCTCCTTGGGTGGCTGTAACACAGCACACGGCACATGCGATGCACACGCCACATGCTTCTCAACGTGGTCCCCCTCTCCTCAGGGTCTCCCCAGCAACTATCACCCACATGTCTTCCCTTCACCTGGCCTCAAAATCACCCCCAGCAAGCAGGGGATGAAACCTTTCACACCCCGAGACCCACCTCCCTGGCCCTGTCCTGGAACTCCTCTCCCGTCCCGCCCAGGCACCCCGCAGGGGCTCAGAAAGGCATTAGCAAATGAGTGAAACCAGAGCCCAAGGCCAGGAGGGAAGGGCCCGGAAGGCGGGTGGAAAGCGGGCGGGCAGTCTGTTTGAAGGCTGCGCCCCCTGGTGGCCATGGTGGGGAGCAAGATGAACAGCCTGGTAAGGGCAGCCGGGGAGGGGGCAGGGACCTGCATGAGGAGGGGTGGCTGGCCCTGCAGCCAGTACCCCTGGGCCTGTCTGTCTGAACCTGGTGTCAGGAGCCTTCCTGAGAGGGTGGTGACCAGCGTCCTCTTTCTGGCCTGGGTGCAGGAGGGCAGCGGGTAGCCACCAGGGCTTCTGATTGAAACGGGGCAGAGGCCAGCACTGAGCGACCAGGATGGGGGTGGGGTGTGCAGGTGGTGAGTTTGCATCACCACCCAGACTATCTACCACCGGGACCGGCCCAAGGCCAGGCTGAGGACTGGGCCTCGCCCTCACCTGGCGGGCCAGGCGGCCCTTGTCCTCCGTCTTCACGTTGGTGGACTCGTTGAAGATGCGCAGGCACTCCTCCATGGGGTCCGAGTCAAACTCAACCTCCTTCTCCAGGGCAGCATAGTCTATGTCCTCCCCTGAGGACGACGAGGAGGAGGAAGGGGAGGCGAGGGCAGCAGGCGGGGGTGGGGCAGCCTGGAGCCTCTTGGGTGGGCCCTGCTCCTGGGCCTCAGAGAGGCTGGAGTCCGAGTCCGAGTCCGAGCTGAGGCCAGGCAGTGCAGGGGGCCAGGCCCGAGGTGCTCCCTCGTCCTCATCTGCACTCTCATCCCCAAAGAGGTCAGCGTGGCTCAGGGCACGCCGCTTCAGCTTGGGGGCGTCCTGGGAGCTGCCCTCGTCCAGCGAGTGGGCCTTGCGCGTGGCCAGCTTCCCTGAGGGGGAGGGCTTCTCCGAGGGGGAGGGCTTCCCCCGCTTCTTGCAGGCCGGCCGGGGCTCTGGGGGCCGGCTGGGCCTCCCTTTCCCTGAGCTGCCGGCCAGCGTGGTGGCCGAGGATGGCTGCTTCTTGGTCCCGTCCAGCCGCTCTGCCCGGCCGCAGGCAGCCCTCGAGCTCCTCTTCTCGCCCAGCTTCCCCCGGTCCCTGGCCCTGCCCTTATCTTTCTTGCGGACGCCATCCTTGTGGCCGGTGGGTGGCAGCTCCTCATGTCTCTTCTTGGCTTTGGCCTCCTGTGTGGCTGGGGCGGCAGGAGCAGCTGGAGGCTCCCCGCCCGGGCCCTGGGGAGGCGGCCCGAGGTCACCCACATCGTACTGCACAGCCATCTCCTTGGTCTCTCGCAGGCTGCCCTCCTCGGGTTCCGGACCCTTCCTGCAGGGTGGCTTCCCAGAAGCCTGGCTCTCAGGGGCCGCCTGGGCTCTCGGCGGGCTGGCAGAGGGGGGCCCGCTGCCTGGGGTCACAGCGGCATCATCTTCCGAGTCAGAGAAGCGGGCATCGCAGCCACCGAAGGGGTCACAGTGCTTCTTGGGCGCTGGCATGTAGGGCTCGCGGCCAGGGGTGCCCCGAGCTCGCTTAGGGGCCCTCTCTTCCCTGGAGCCGGCCCTGCTCAGCAGCCGGGCCGAATAGTTGGACAGAGGGTCGTACTCTAGGTCAGTGGATGGCTTGGAGTTGTCCACGACGTACTTGCCACTGAGGGCGGGGCGGCTGTGCCTGCGGGGCTGGCCCACGGCCTTGGGGACATATTCCAGGGCAGCGCCGCCCCGGCCCGGGCTCCTGTCCAGCGAGTACTTGGCAGCAGGCTCTGCAGGTACAGCCAGTGGCGTGGGCTGGTAGCCGGCTTCTGGGCTCAGTGGGCCTCGGCCGCCAGGGTGGTCGTTGCAGGACCGTGGGAAGGTGTCGTCGCCGGCCAGGTCAGCGGCGGGGCCGGCGGGGCCGCGGGGTGCGAGGGCAGGGGCCGCCGCGGGGCCGCCCGCCCGGGCTGTGCCCAGGAGCTCCTGGTAGCGCCTCTGCTGCAGCTCCACCTCGCTGCGCACGGCCTCAATGGCCTGGTTGACCAGCTCCAGCTCCAGCAGGTCCCAGCGGGGCTCAGCCCCACCGCCCACGACTCCGTTTTCCCTCTGGGCAGCAGGCTTGGGCAGCTCGGGGTTGTAGGGGTCATAGCTGAGCCCTGAAACAGACACAGGAAAGACAACAGCCAGTCACCGGCCTTCCAGGAACTGAGGTGAGTGCTCACCGTGGCTCCAGGCACAGCCCCACCAAGGAGAGCTCTGGCAGCTAAGCTGGGCGGGGCTGTTCTGGAACCCTCACTCCATGGCAGAAGCTGCACCGTGCACAGTCTAAGCATGTGGCCAGTCATGGCAAGGCAGCATGACCGATGGCCATGCGGAGTGGGGACTTTCTGTGGGGCCTGCATGAGGCTGTTGACGGGATGGAGACATGAACAGCCAGCCCCAAGTCACAGGTGGGGAGCCGGGGCTCTGGAGGCAAGAGGGCTGGTGTTCCCAGACTGGCCCAGCCACCACCCGTGTCACACAATGGTACCGGGCCCCTGGGAGAAAGTGTACCACCTAGTGGTAGTTATTTGTTACAGCAGCCGTAGGGAACTTGGGCTCACCCTAACATTGTCAGCTTTTGCACAGAAAAATTGATCATACACTGGACACTCTGGGGCAGTGAGACTACCCTGTGTGACACCATAATGGTGGACATGGGACATTTTGCATCTGTCAAAACCCACAGAACTAGACAACAGAGTGAACGCCAGTGCAAACTGTAGACTTTAGTTGATAACAATATGTTAACGTGGGACTCAGTGAGGAAAGGGGGGCCCAGCAAATGGGAACTCTCTAGACTTGCAGCACAATTTTCCTGTAAACTTAAAAGGGCACTACAAAATAAAATTAAAAAACAAACAAAAATAAGAGAAGGGAGATGCCAAAGGATAAACAGTACACATCCTCACTTTTTAAAAACGTCTCCAAAATATAATGGAATGAATGAGTGCAGCTAAGAGCCAGGCGGGTTCCGATGCTGGCCGCAACGCACAGGTGTCTATGGAAGCCCACTGGCAGGAAAGGTCCACAACAGGCAAAGGCAGAGACCTGCGCTGACCAGCGAGCGGGTTCCAGGGTCCGGCGGCAGGGGGAGGGAGCACTGCCTACTGCCTACTACCTAGGGGCACCAAGTCTCAGGGGATGGCAACTGGAAACAGATGGTTACACAGCAGGGTGAAGGGGATTAATGCCACTAAACTATCCACACAAAAGGGGGTGGAAATGAAGCTCCGAGTTTCACCACAATAACAAACACATACACAGCCAACTAATTCAGTGCTCATGGGGGGGGGGCACCTCTGATCTGCAAGTAGTCTTCCCCTTAACACACACCACCTACTTGCAAAAACCCTAAGCGTGTGGCCATGCGGTCCATTCTGTCTCCTAGCAACCCCATGTGACAAAACCGCCCCATATGGTTTTCTAGGCTAAAATCTTTGAGAGCACCAGGACTTTCCCCTAAAGAACTGCTGGGAGGATTCCAATTGCTGACGTGTTGCGGCAGAGCGCTTTAACCACTGTGCCACCAAGGCGCCTTCCTACTTCAACGCGGGGTCTGAAGTGGTGACAGCGATGTGACCACATTAAGGCTGGTGAAGAAGCAGCATGTGTTGCCACACAGCACACAGCATGCATACCAGCTGCGGTATCTGACAGGTCCTGAGCCGTGAGGCAGGCCCAAGGTGCTGTGCTGGGTGATGTGACTTCCATCTGCTGGCCCAGGTGCAGGAGGGCAGCAGGTAGTCACCAGGGCTTACATCCTTAGCTTCTTATAGACCCTGCCTGCCCTCTGTCCCCCAGCAGCTCCACTTCCAGGACCCACAGACAGACTCCCACACGGGCTAAGGTCTCTCCATCTTTGTCAAGCAGTGGTCCCATTTAAGGGGAAAAGAAACAGGACCACCACCTGAGACCCCTCTGTGTCCAGGTTAGAGCAGGAGGTCACCACCCAGCTGGCCACTGATGGCTCATGACTGGTGTTGGAAAGAACTGGTACGTTTCCTTGCCGCTCCCCCAAGAGACACCTGTGCTCGGCAGACATCAGGGGCTCTCACAGGTGGCTTACTGGGAGGGTTTTCGCTCTCCCTGTGGGAGACCCAGAGTTCTGATCTAACAATGGTTAAGCGACTGGCTGCTAAGTGAGAGGTCAGAGGTTCAAAACCACCAGCTCCATGGGAGAAAGGCCTGGCAATCTGCTTCCATAAAGATGACAGCTTATAAGACATCCTGCGAGGCAGCTCTCCTGGGTCACACGGGATCACTCTGAGTGGAAACCAACTTTATAGCACCCAACCACCTGTCTCAGAAACCCAAAAGGGGGTCGCTGTGAGACAGAATGGACCAGATGGCAGTGAGTTTGGTTTTTGAGTGCAACTCCCTGCAGGAGACCCGGGTCCAATTCCCAGTCAATGCACCTCACTCGTAGCCACCACCCTGTGTGTCCCATGACCCTGAACAGGTTTCAGCAGAGCTTTCAGAGCATGATGTAGGAGACAGGCCTTGTGATCACTCCCAGCACACCTGCTGGGCGCTCAGGGGGCTCACAGCCACCCTGAAGCTCAGAAAGAAGCACCTACACTTTTGTGAAAATGAGCCAACGAAAAAACACACTGGGTTACAGCAGCCCAACCAGCAACCGATCACGGGAATGGCAACGTTCAGTCCCACTGTGCACAGGGTCACCATGACCCAGGCTGACCCAACCAACAGCAGCTAACAACCAAAATCCCAAACCCATTGCAGTCAATTCCAACTCATCCCTACCCTACAGGACAGAGCAGAGGTGCCCCGCAGGGTTTTCCAAGCTGCAGTCTTTACGGGAGCACATCACCAGGGCTTTCTCCTACGAGAAAGTTTGGCTGCGTTCAAACTGTCAACCTTTTGGTTAACAGCTAACCATCGTGCCACAAGGTTATCTTTAACCACCACCACCACCTCGCCCCAAAAGAGATGTCTACCCCTAATCTCCAAAACCTGTGAATACGTCATCCTCTACAGCAAAGGGGACTCTGCAGATGGGACTGAATGAAGGATCTTCATTTATTGTGGCAAATACATAGTGACCACAAAAACCTACCTTCCAACCGCATGCAAAGGTGCAGTTCAGTGACGTCCATACACCATCCACCATGCTATGCAACCACTGGCACTGCCCGGTTCCAAAGTTCCTGCAGGAGCTCCACACCCCTCCCTGTCCCTCAAGTAGTAACTCCACTGCCCCCTCCCTGCAGCCCCTGGCAACCGCTGATACGTGTTTATCTCTGCACATCTGCCAAGAAGCTCTGGTAGCAAGGTAGCAGGGTGGTTAATGCACTCAGCTGCTAACCAAAAGATGGGTGCTTTGAGCTCATCAGCCACTCTGTGGGAGAAAGATGAGGCAGTTTGCTCCTGTAAAGATAAAGAAAGCCTCCCGGGCAGTTCCACTCTGTCCTCTAGGGGCGCTGTGAGTCGGAATTGACACCACAGCAGTGGGTGTGGTTTGGGCTTTGCTTCTGTAAAGATTGACAGCCTGGGAAACCCTGTGGGGCAGTTCCACTCTGTCCTCTAGGGGCGCCATGGGTCAGAATCGACTGCTGTTGAGCTGTGAATTTTATGCATTTGCTTGTACTAGATATTTCACAGAAATGGAATTACAGCGTTTCAAGTTAAGGACTTGGAGATGGGAGAGTAGCCTGGATTACCCAAATGGGGCCAATATACTCAGAAAGCCAAAAGCGCGTTGGCCGTGGAGTGGACTCTGACTCGGTGGCCCCACATGTTATAGCAGAACTGTGCCCACAGGGTTTGCAGAGGCTGACTTTTCAGAAGCTGATTGCCAGGCTGTTCTTGCGAGACACCTCTAGGTAGCCTCGAGCCTCCAACATTTATTTCAGTAACAGCCTTGAGCACTGACCATGTGCCACCCAATACCCTATATAACCACAGGGTCCTTATCTAAAGGAAGCAAGGGGGGAGTCAAGTCAGAGCAGGAGGTGTGAGGGTGGAAGCAGAGAAAGAGACTGGACATGCTCACGCTGGCTCTCAAGGCGCAGGAAGGGGTCAGAGGCCAAAGAACACGGGGCCTCTAGAAGCTGGAAAAGGCTGGAATGATTCTCCTCCCGGAGCCTCCAGAAGGCACCAGACCCCCTGACTTCAGTCCGAGACCCACTCTGGAGCCGGACTCCAGGCCTGTGAGGCTGTGAATGTACAAACCCACACGGCCTGTGGCTGCTTGCTCCTGCAGCCCAGACCCACCTCAGGAGACGGGCTTGGTGGCCCACCTCCCGAAGGTCCCAGCCCTGACAACCTCATGCAGCAGTCAGTCTGCACAAGTGGGGTCGCGTGACTCTGAATCAATGAAACAGCAGCCAACAACAAGGACACCACACCCGCTCCGCCCTCTCCAGCACCCAGGCAGCCTCCAGTCCAAGGACGGAGGAAGCGGACAGGCCTGTCCAAGAAGCGGACAGGCCGTCAGTGGGGATCTGGGGTGCCTCAGACCAGAGGAGGGGGCACAGACCCCAGCCCAGTCCCCTCATCACCAGCAGGGGGTGGGCTTCTTCACCCCTAAGTGGCTGCCTCCCCCGCCCATGTCCAGAATAAAAGAAAGAAGTTCCCCTTGGCAGTCTGCCCCAAGGCCTCAGTTTCCCTGCTGGTAAATCACCCAGCCTAACAGCTCTGGAAAGGTCTAGAATCTTTCAGCACATCCTGCTGAGGGCTCAGGGGGCTCACAGCCACCTCGAAGTTCAGAAATAAGCACCCAGGCCCCTGTCAGTAGGTGCCCTTCCCCAAGGCCCCAAAAGGTGACCCAAGGCTTCACAGTAAACAAATGAAGCTGGTACTGGCCTGCCTGGGTCCCCCCACACCTGCCTAGGTCCTCCTGCCTCGAAGTCTGGGACCCCCTCAGAAGGCATCTGGCAGCTGCTTGTGGCCCCCAGCCCTGACTCTGGGGGTGCATCAGAGACTTGATAGCACCTTGTGGGGCGACAGCAGCATGCTGAGGAGGCGGTGTTACAGGTGGGAAGGGTGCCCCCAGGTTGGTGAACAAAATTGAGGCCATTTTTCTGAGATAGGAGCTCATCTTCAGAAGGCTGGGAAAGGCCCCCAAAGGGGCTCTGCAGACAGCAGCCCAGAA